ATTGCTCATTCAAATCGTTTCCCAAATAAACATTAGGCGATTATTATTGCATATATATTAGTTTTAAAATGCTATACAATGAAAATGTTTCATAAAAATATGGCTTCTCATCTGTTTAGCTAAATAAATGATTCAAAATTTATTCCTCAAGTATATTCTCAATATTTTTATTGTTTTGACACTTGACAGTTTCAATGCTGGTAGATTAGAGGGAGGTATTCGGATACAATCAAAGTTTTATGTATTTAACTATTTACAAACAATATTATTATCTCTCTCCTGAATGTTTACGATTCTAAGACATAGATCAGTTTTGTTTGTGATTTAGATGGCAATAGCAATTTCTTAAAGCGTTTACATTCAATTTATAAACATTCTGTTAGTATTGTTAAAATGTATTCTGAGAATTTGAAAAGTTTGACTGTGTTGTTTTTTTTGCCCAGTCATACACGGTTGCGGCATTATCTAAAAGTACATTTTAAGTATACTTGTCTATATTATATATTTATATTGTATGCGCGTGTGCGTATTAACTTAAGAGCAGTCCCATATTCTATATTCTGCTTAATTGCTCTGCTTTGTATAATTTTAATTTTTTAGCAATATTGTTAAATCAGAATTATGGGAAAAGGGATAGCCTCCAATGAGTCATTATGAAATTTTGCCACGTGCTGTAATTTCACGATGAAGTATTGAGTAATTTTCCCATATCTCCAACTACGCTGAAGTAGGGATTTGTAGAAAATTTATTAGCAGGCCTGTTATACAGCATAAACAGAGACAAATTCTTACAGAGACCATAATTTCGTGATACCATTTAATAATATCGTATTATTAGAGACATAAAATAATAATGTATGGTATAATAATATATGGTCTCTGTTTTGTCATAGACTTCTCCTCTCATTTTAAACGTTTTTTTTTCTGAATATGGAATGATTATATATTATATTTGAAGCCTAAGCAGCAGCTCAAAAGATGTAATGTAAGGGACTAACCACTGGTTTGCGGGCCGCGCTTTACTATATTCCTTATATATATATATATATATATATATATATATATATATATATATATATATATATATATATATATGAGAATTTATGGGGTGTTTATATAAAAATATATATAATTCTAGAATGTGTAGAAATCTTCGTCGATATTATTGAGAAAACCTGCAGCCCCATGCACATTTCATTTTCGCATCGCCTTCTTTCCTCTTGCTAACTACAAATAACAGTTCTTTGCTTATCATTATGTGGTTTAATATTGGCCATTGTGGTTTAATATTGCCATTGTCCCATGTAAGCAATTCGATTACAAATTTTTTTGTACTCCGCTCAAAGTGCAAGTAGCATAAAATGCAAGCGCCAAAAAATCGCTTTAGCTGGCGATTTTTACGCTTCCTAAAGCATAAACTCAAACAAATTTGCTCAGCAGAGTGTGTGTGTGTGTGTGTGTGTTTGCCGGTGAGCGTGCCAAAGGGTTCAATTATGAGCCGAGCTTTGTTCAGGTGAGCAAACGCCTAAAAGCGTATCCCCAGCTGGGGAAACGGGCTATGCAAACAAGCAAAACAGTTTGGTAACTCTGCCAATTCAGCGGACTGGCAACTCTGCCGCTCTAATGTGTGAAAAATATGTAGCGCCTCGCCAGGTGTAAAGCTCTGTCCGCAGGGAACTCAAAAAGCACCTTCAACTTTGAGTCGAAAGGGACTCCACTTCGTTTTGCTTTTGTTTTTGTTTTTGCTGCTGCGCCTAAGCGACTGCAACTTTTATTGGAAAAAAACGAGATAGAGAGAGAGAAATAGAGAGTGATAGTGAGAAGGGGAAAATCTCAGGGGACGTAGAAGTGCGAGTGGCCTATCAATTTCAAGGCTCATTGTGTATGACTCAGGCATTGGTGAAGCATTAAATTAACTTTAAAAACTTTGCGAGCGCAGCAGAAAAACAAAACAAAAGCGAAAACTAAACTTGAAATTAATTAACCGCGACAAGGCCAAAGCAATTTCATAAAAAACAATGAAAAATACAAACGCAGCCCGGCCACACGCTTCCACACTGGCAAAAATCAAGTCCTAGAGCAAATGCGACCGAGTCTCTGCAATTTAAACTTTTCCAGCATTTCATTTCATTTCCTACCACATAACTCATAAAGCCCCTAATTACGCGAACAGCTGACGCGAACCAGAGACAAAATAAAGCCAAATAGGGTGGATGAACGCTAGAGCCAAGGGCCAGCCAGAAAAGAAAGAGGACGACGAGCACGGATGGGACATTCGAGCCACAGCCCTCAGCTATGCCCACAACAAAGACAAGTTCGCGATTTGTTATAACAAAATATATAATATTCTCTTTGCGACCGCGAATTAAAAAACTTTTGCAGCTTCAAGTGCAATATTTTGAAACTGGCTGAAGCAAGAAATACAGAATGAGATATTTACCTGATGAAATATTTTGATTATTATTAATTTGTACAACAGTCTCCTTCGATCATAGAAGTATTAACATATGTATTCCTTCCGATATCAAATTGAAGCTATCGCCACTTAAATATCTAATATAAATATATCAAATTGATGTGCGATTTCCATTCAGCTTACGAATAATATTTCATAGATCCATATTACGAGTGCTAGATTCACAATATAGATTCGCGAACCGGCCTTGTCTGCAATACCCTGTAAATTCGCAAGTACCACGCACGTGTACGTTTTTGTGGTTTGCCCCCCACCCTCCTCCCTCCTCGAGGGGAACGCCAGAAAGCATGCTTTTGTTGCTGCTTTTTCTACGTCTTCAACGGAACAAGCGGAACGAAACACGCAGCCTCGCCGCATGTATTTCAATTACTGCATTTCTCAGTCAGGCTCCAGCCCCTTCCCAGTCCCATTTGCCTCCCTCTATGGGCTCGCACTTCGAGCATCAGTAACGCGTTTGTGCGCCCCGCCCATTGGGCAGCCGCCCTCGCAAGCATTTTTTATGGATTTTTAATTTGCGCCAGGCGCGCATATTTTACTCCACTTTTTATATATATTTTTTTAATGTATTTTTATTTTTATTTTTTTTTTATTTTTATGTTTTTATACTCATTCAGGAAAGTGAATCAGTATATTGGTTTTGTGCAATGTCCGTCTTGCTGTCCGTCCGTCTGTCCGTCTGTCCGTCCGTCCGTCTGTCCGTCTGTCCGTATGAACGCAATCTATTTCGGCGCTATTGAAGCTAGAGACTTGAAATTTGGAACACATACTCGTGTATATCTCCGATTTATAAAGTGTTAAAATTTTCCCGATCCGCCCACTAGGGGCATGGCAAATCGGAAAATGCATTTTCCAATATACCAGAAATCATGTTTGTTGAAGAGCTAGAAAGCTGAAATTTGGTATGTAGGTCCGCGTTGACCACCCAAGATCACGAGCTATGGCGGATATATCTCCGCCCATTGGGGGCGTGGAAAATCGGATAAAACTGTATCTCCTAAAGTTGTAAACCTAGAATGCTGAAATTTTGCACGTCAGCTAATGGTATGATTCTATAAAGTCTGAAGATAAATTACAAGTCTACGCCCATTGGGGGCGTGGCAAATCGGACCTGAAGATATTGTGATTTTTTAAATTCTCCTATATTTTGGACACTATTGATGGCAGAGACCTCAAATTTTGTATATATACTCGGACTGATCACCCAAGACCAAAAAGTTTTGTCGGATATATGTCCGCGCACAGGGGGCGTGGCAAACCGCAAAAGTTTATATCTCCTAAAGTATAATAGCTAGAAGCTTCAAATTTGGATAGTTGAGTTACTGGTAGCCTCCTCTATCGATTCCCGAAAAATAATTTTTACGCCTCTTTAGGGGCGTATCGAAAAATACCCTGTAATTTTCACATTTTTTGAGGGTAAGCATTCAAAATTTGCAGTTAGGGTACCGTTATCTCTTTCTAAAAACTGACCAAAAATGAGGTGTCTACGCCCAGTTGGGGCGTGGCAAATCGGAAAAACCTGTATATTCTACAGTATTAGAGCGAAACTTAACTACTAAATTGTTGATGGGATGTGAATGAGTATTCTGCAGTCGGTAACGCCCGACTGCAACGTTCTTACTTGTTTTTTTTGTTTTTGTTTTTGCGTGCTTTTTACGCAAATTCATTGTTTTAATTTACTCAAGTTTTTTGACCGAAAACAAAAACTAATCAATGTGAGCAGGATCAAGGTGCTAAGGGGTTGATGGGTTGAAGGAGCTGGTGAGGGACAAACAAACGACAGTCGGCTGGTCAGTTAATGAGGTCAAAGCCCAAAATAGGGTTAAACAGTGCACACAATTTTTAATTAAACATTAGGTCTGACCAACTTTTTGTTGTGGTTTCTATTCGAGGTGGCTACAAAGAACTGCCATCCATATATAAATACATATAAACACACTTGTACATATATAAATCTCTATATATACTTAACCGCAGAGCGGTAACTTCCAAAGGCGAAACTTGCGAAAAAGCAAGCAAAAGTTTAAAGGTGTAAAAGTGTAAAAAGTGTGAAAGGGGAATCGGCTAATGAGATAGAGTTAAAAGAAAAGTTTATCTTTTTGGCATTATTTACAGCTAAAACTCAGGTAGAACTTGAAATAATTTCACAGTTCTTTGAAGAGCACATAAAAAGAAGGGATTTAAGTTTAAAGGGACTCAAATCTAAGGGGTTTATGGCTTACAGGTTAAAGTAAATTAATTAATTCAAATGACAACAAAAAAAGAATTGAATAGCCTAGAGGAGAATAGTTCAACTAACACTTTTCAATACAGAAGAAAGAAAAGAAAGAAAATTGTTAATAATTTCGCTTGTAGTAGAACTACATATATACAGAAACCTTTCAAAACCTATTTATAATGTTCATTCCGAATTACAGTTCTCTAGTACATGAAATACTCTTTTTACAAATTGGGAGCGAAGGGGAGTGGTATAAATTTTCCTAAATTTACTGCAATATCATTAATAGTTTGTTATTTTATTTTTCAGGCAACATTTCTCAACTGAACGAAACAACGATATTAAACTGAACAGCAAAACTACAAATTTTAAACTTAACATTACCAACTGCGACCAAAGGTTTCTCAAGCTCTTTCTAAAACAAAAACAAAAAACATAAAAAATCACAAAGAGCTGAAGTAGTATTCAAATGATGTAAAATCAAATAAAAACTGCGACTCTGGTTGAGCAGACAAAAAACAAAAAAAAAAAAAACACCCCCTGAAACTGCGTAACCAGAAAACCGGAAATTAAATTTGCAACAGCCATAACCTCAAAAAAAAAAAGTAAAATAAATAAAAGTAGTGCAAACAAGCCACAGTAGAAGAATTAAAAAAATAAATAACATTGAAAAGATAGCGAGAGATAGAGAACCCAAAAAGGGAATTAAGAAATTTCGCTGGCAAATATTTGCAGAGATTAATGAAAGTGGATTAGAGACGAGTTTCTAAAATTGAAAACGAGATAAAAGCGGCACAAATATCTTACACATAACAAGAGCGAACGAGAAGGAGAACAAGGGAGCGAGAGAGAAAGAGGAGGAGCGACCAATTGTGCAACAGAGACAGCGACTACTTGGCTGAGCTTGGCTGAACTTTGACCCACTCGACGCGTTTGTCTTTTCGCTCTTAGTGTTAATCACGGCAAACGTGCCAGGACGAACAGGACGAACAGGTCGACCAGGCGGTGGCGTGGCGAGGGCCAAGCCAGGTGCTGGCTACTTAAAACCCGGGGCGTCAGGCCAACACATTGTTGCAGACACTTTCACTCTCGCAACAGCTACAACAACAACAATTTGTAATTCCAACTAAAAGCAACGCAAAGCAACAACAACAACAAACAAAAAACCAAGGACATGGACTCGTCGTCGTCGTGCTTGTCGCTGTTTGTCGCGTTGATCTTCCTTGTGATAATTAAAGGTGAGTGCAACATTTTCAGTATCAGAAACTCACACTTTTACACACTGACTATACACACAGGGAAAATTTCATTCATTCGAAATGAAATTATTTTTAAAATTTATTAATTAATGGATGCGGAGTGCAAATGCTACGAGAAGAGTTTTTAACCTTCAGCTGAGATATCTAACTTAGGGAATCCGATTAAAATTAAATTACATAAAGAAATTTTGGAAACCTGAGGACGTTAAAGTGAATGGGCGATGCTCTAAAGCTAAAATATACTCTGGCAAAATGTATAATATTTATGGTCTTTTTGCTAAATAAGACATTAATTCGAAAAAAATAAATTGAAATAAAAATAAAAATTGTAAAATTCTTCGTCAACCATCCGATTTGATTTATATTTAGCTCATTTTACTTGCTCAGGATCGAGTTATTCATTCATCGTATAAAACACAAATTATTTAATTCTTATTTGTAATTGTAATACACATGTATTCTCCTATAGCCATCAATACAAATTTTTTATAAATATATATACAATACATATACGTTTATATATATAAACAAACATAAATATATGTAATTAATTTTTTCTACTGCTCAATATTTTATTAGGGTATCTCTTAGTCAGGTATTTCCGCCTTTAACTTTCTTACTTCTTCGCAATAAATATATTCCAAGAGTCGAGTTATATTAAATAATTCGATTTTAATTATAGTTAATATCACAGTTGAACGAATACACTTTACTATGTTGGTGCTTAGTTTTGTATTGATCTTTATTCTGCTGGGCCCGGGTTTTTATACCCAGACTCATGTATAATTTCAACCATTAAATCTAGTGCTTCTATTGTTGAGTGTGTAAGGCTCAGCATTGATCTATTACATATTATTAACTTATCGCGTAGTTTGTAAGACTCCGCGTTGGCTTATTAGCTATTCTTATGCTATCGCTGAGTTTGTAATGCTCAGCGCTCGCCTCTTACGTATTCTAATCGCTAAGGGTCAGGGTCATAATTTATGCCCAGTTTGACAGTTCACACTTGAAACATATGTTATTTATTTTATGCTAGCTGTCGAGTGCGTACGTTCCCCTACTTATCATATTTTTATGTTCATGCATGATCATGAACAACAGTTGATCATATTCTATTATGCCATCAGTCAGTCAATCAATCAGTCACTAACAAAACATGGAAATCTAGTTTCCATAACTGTAACTGTGAAGTTGCATTGCTGTCTGTAAACCATTCTCAGACATATATCCTTATTTGACTCAATTTTCATCAATATTTATGAACAACTTTGCGCATGTTTTCCGTTTTGCTTAGCTCGTTCCGCATACAAGTTGAGAGGTCCTTGTCGGTGCGAATCCTTGTGGGCCACTATCAATTTGAAAGTGCACAACTTTCAGGGCTCTGCATAAATCTTCTTGTCACATTACTAACATGCCACAAAGCGCGACGCTGACTGTTGCACTCGCATCGCCCCAAGCCTCACGCCCCACGCCCCACGCCCCACGCCCAATGCCCACCCATGCCCACCAGCCCCTGCGCTTGCTACCTAGTTACGTGCCAGCACATTATTCAATTCCACATCGGATTTTTCAATTTTCTTTGCCAACATTTTCACGGTGCTTTAAGCAGACCAAACAAAGGAAGCCCCCGAACGACAAATGTAAAAGCCACATAAGCTGTGTTTATGTGTGTGTGTGCGTGTCTATGTACAGCTAGGGTATATATAACTATATAAACATATATATATATCCCTCTATTCATATGCACAGCCATAGTACATATGGCAGCTGGATGGGTGTATTCCCTAGTAGCCCGCTATAAATTCACATTGTCGCCATCGCCCATGGAGATCGCCCCGAGCCAGAAACTTGGCCATATTTTTTAGTTTGCTCCTGCAGCAGTTCGGCAATCGCAAAAAAATGTTTATATAGGGAAAAAGTCGCGCGGCAATGAGACAAATATTTTGGATAGGAAAAAAAGACAAAGAGAAATGAAATAAAATACTTACACAATTGTCAGAGTGAGCCCCAGGAGAGCCTACTTCAAATCTACAGATGCTCCCCAGTGTGTCACACTCACACACACACACACTTGCGTATAGACATACTCGCGTGCACACACTCGCAGCTTTTCAAGTTTTCTCAATATTTTTTTTTTTTTTTATTTTTTTTTTATACCCTGAACCCATTGAAAATGGGAAATCAGGGTATAATGGTTTTGTTAAAAGTATGTAACAGGCAGAAGGAGGCGTGGCAGACCCCACAAAGTATATATATTCTTGATCAGGGCGACGAGCTAAGTCGATTTGGCCCTGTCCGTCTGTCTGTCCGTCCGTCCGTCCGTCCGTCCGTCCGTCCGTCCGTCCGTCCGTCCGTCCGTATGTATGAACGCGTCGATTTCAGAAGATATAAGAGCTAGAGACTTGAAATTTTTTTTCCTAGGTCCGTGTATATCACGCGCATATCAAGTTTTTCTTTATATATCGATAACTACTCCCGATATTTTATTATCGATCAAAAACCTTATCGAAAGCTAGTTATTCAATTATATCTCCTACACCTTTAGAGCTAGAGCTTGCAAATTTTTTATATATATATATTATGTATTTTATATAATTTCGATTTTTGTTGTAATTTACCCCCCACCCCTATATCCACCCCCTCACCCTCACCTTTGTAAAAGGCGTATTTCAAGTACTAGAGACATGTGCTTTGGAATGTACATACATTTTCACCATATAATTATGCCCTGAAACTTTCATTAAGATTGTACGTATAGAAATTAAATTATTCAACAAATAAATTCTTATAATGTTACCTACACTACAGCGCAGCCCAAGCGCAGTTAGCAGAGCTCATTCTAATACGTGTGTGTGTATGTATGTGTGTCGAAAAGAAGTGCAGACTGATTAGAATATCAGATTAGAGGGTTCAGGGTATCTCCTAGTCGAGCAGTCTCGACTAGAGTCTTCTTACTTGTTATACCCTGAACCCATTTTCAATGGGAAATCAGGGTATAATGGTTTTGTTGAAATGTATGTAACAGGGAGAAGGAGGCGTGGCAGACCCCACAAAGTATATATATTCTTGATCAGGGTGACGAGCTGAGTTGATTTGGCCCTGTCCGTCTGTCTGTCCGTCTGTCCGTATGTATGAACGCGTCGATTTCAGAAGATATAAGAGCTAGAGACTTCAAATTTTTTTTAAAATGTCCGTAATTACAGCGCGCATATCAAGTTTATCATTAAAAATCGATAACTCATCTCGATCTTTTTTTATCGATAAAAAACCTTATCGAAAACCAGTTATAAAATTATATCTTCTACACCTTTATTGCTAGAGTCTCCAAATTTTTAATGTATGCCTATATGCAATTTATACAATTTCGGTTTTTGTTAAAATTTACCCCCCACCTCTAAATTCACCCCCTCACCCTCACTTTTGTAAAAAGCGTATTTCAAATACTAGAGACTTGTGCTTTGGCAATTACATGCATACATGCATAATCATAATCTAAAAGTTTCATGAAGATCGTACGTCCATAAAAAAAGTTATTAAACAATTAAGTTCTCATAGTAAGCGCACACTGCAGCCCATGCGTGTTTATGCGTGGTTGCTTGTATGTGTATATGTATGTGTGTGTGTGTATGCGTTTGTGTCTGTATGCGTGTGTGTGTGTATGTGTGTCTGTATGCGTGTGTGTGTATGTATACCTGTGTGTGCGTACGTGCGTGTGTGTGTGTGTGTGTGCGTGTTTCTTGTGTAAGCTGAAAGTCGCGAAAAAGTATTGAAATATCTATTGCTCCAAGGGTTCAGGGGATCTCGTAGTCGAGCAGTCTCGACTAGAGCTTTCTTACTTGTTTTTTTTTTGCATTCAGTCGAGAAGTTGTTTTTTCTAGCTCGTTGAGCTGCGCTGCGAGTGGGAGTCGAGTCTCATGTGTGTGTCAAAAAAAAGGAAAGAAAAAAAGAAGAAAGATAGAATGAACAAAATAATAACAAGCGTCTGCAACGCACGATTTTCAATTGCTCGCAATGCTCCACTTGCATTGTTTCCACCAGGCAGCAACAAAGTGCATTAGCATTAAGTGGCAGGCCCTTGTGGGTAGCAAGCGCCACACAAGCGAATGCCTCTCGAAATTCTAAGAAAACAATTTCCATTGATTTTCATCCAATATACTAAATAGGTAATTCTTGTTAATCAACAGTTACTTAGGCTACTGCATAGAAAAGCTTTCACAACACATTTCATTTTCCAAATACACTCTGATTACGTATCTATTCTGAGCTACAACTTGGTATTCAGTTTCATTTGAAATTAGATACCCTTAAACATACAAACATGCACATGCAACACAATCTTTTTACATAGCAAATTTCTAGCTATGATTTTGCTCTTCGCTTAATAAATAAGTGCTTTATCAAGTTAAATATCCACTTATTTATTAAGCGAAAAGAAAAATCATTGCTGGAAATTTGCTATGTAAAAAGATTGTGTTGCATATATATTTATAATAATAATACTAATAAAATTAATAATAATAATAGTAATAATAATTTTTTTTTTTTTTTTTTTTTTTTTTTGTTGGGCTGAGGTAGGAAAAAATGCTTTATGCACCGTCAGTCATGTCGTCACTTTGACCGGTGTGTCGGACTGCATAACTGCTTACCGACTAAAAAATCCTCCTCTTCTGGGGCTCAAATCCACCTTGGAACCAGGAGATATCCCGCATTAACCTTCAAGGTGGAACCCCATTGTGTGCTCTAAATGAGCGTTGCCCTCTGTGTGCCTGCGTCCAGGTCATACTTCTTCCGCCGCAGAACCTTTTCGGCGAAGTCATAGACTTTTTTCCAAGCGTCTATGCTGCTGCACATTTGCTGTACTAACGTCTCTACTTTGACTTCACCTACTGTTTCTGCCAGGTCGATTCTTTCTTCCGACCATCTTTTGCAATTGAAGAAGGTGTGTTCTGCATCGTCCATTGCATTTTCGCAGTAAATGC